ATAGTTCAAAGTTTTGTTAGGGAACAGTTAGGGGACCGACTGATTAAAGATAAAGGCGTTGAATCGGAGAAACACGTCGCCGAGCAAATGTCGGGCGTGCCGGTCGTCGAGCCGATGATCGTTAAACAGCGTTACATTCGTGACGGCAAGGGTGACTCGGGGATGACGATCGTCGCATCGAAAACGGTGGTTTCCGTGAGCGACGGTAAGACGGGTCAGCCGCCGATAGTCACTCAGACGATCACAGTAAAAGAGATAGATCAAACTGCACCGAAGGATGCAGTAACGATCTCAAATGGTAAACAAACTACGGTGAGCAAAAAGGAACTGATGTCTAAAGAAGGTAAGGAGATCGATGAGAGATTAACTTCACCGGTGAGTCCCACGAAAGAAGGTACCAAAGAAGTGCCAGGAAAACTCAAAGAGGCTAAACAAGATGATCAAAAGAAACCAATGGTGAAAGAGACCGTTGCTAAACACAGCATCCCAAAAGAAACGAAACCGATTACCGACAAGCAAATATCTGCTTACGAAGGTGTCTACACTGCTCAGTATGCTTCGCCACCTGAAGAGAAACCAGAAGACGAGGCGAAGAAATCGAAAGAGAAAAGTGGTGGAATATTGTCAGGTATTTTCAAAGGATCCAAAGTGAAGAAAACTAAAACAGGTTCTAAAGATGCCTCCTTTGACAGCGGAGATGAAGAACCTAAAGCAGCTTCAATGCCCCCTGCAGGACACGAAATTCGACCGGATTTCGTGTCCATTGAAAGTACTACTGTTCCGGATATAAAACTAGCCACAATGCAGTTCTTAGATGATTCCAGGCGAGCTGCAGCTGCGATGCAACCAATGCCTGAAAAGCAGGATGCTAAAGTGTTACCTAAAGTTGAGGCTGACAGTGTTGCAGCGACGGTAACTGATGCTGGGACCAAAGAGGATCAAGAAAAGGAGAAGGGTGGTGGATTCTTCGGAATGTTTAAGAGTCCAAAGTCGAAGGAGAAGAAGCTGAAGAAGTCTAAAGACTCGTCCTTCGACAGCGGCGATGAAGAGGTTCGAACTACTGCAGGGAAACCTTTAGATGACGCTAAGAAACTCGCAGATATAACGATTGTTTCTCCAACGACTAAGATCAGCGACAAACAACCAGTTATCAAAGACGAAGTACACACGTTCACATCTCATGTTCAATACGACGATACACCAAAAGACAAATTAAATGGACATTCTTACGACATCGCAGAGATGCACAAGAAAGCTGAAATCGACGTACGCAGTCCTCAGAAGGACATGAACGGAAAATCAGATATTAAGCATAAAGATGCGCGGCAGAAGGATCGAAGTTTAGAAAGGAAAATGGATAAGAAAGAACCTAGCGACGAGCAAAAGGAACAAGACGAAGAAGGGAAAGATAAGAGTAGTGGTTTCTTTAGCATGTTCAAGAGTCCTAAGCTGAAGAGCAAGAAGAGAAGCGCATCGAGAGAGAAGAGTTCATCGAAAGACACATCTTTCGACAGTGGAGATGAGGAAGTAAGACAAGCAACGGCAGCCTTCTTAGACGATGTTAAAAAGACCGCGGAGAGTATGCATCATCCTGAAGACATACAGAAGCCCGTTAAAGTGCCGGAAGTGGAACCAGCGGATAAGGACAAGGGAAGCGGCATTCTTGGCATATTCAAGAGTCCGAAATTGTCCAGGGAATCGAGGAGTCGATCGCGGGAGAAGAGCGCCGCACCGGAAGAAACACAGAAACCTGTAGACAAACCTTTACGTGAGGCTACTGCTAAATTCTTTGATGACACGCAAAGTATTGCGACTGCTACAGTAGATGTCACAGATAAGATACATGAAGCTGGGAAAGATCTTGCTGATGACGGTAAAGCAGAGGCGACGAAATTGTCGAAAGAAATTCAAGATGATACTAAGAAAGCGAAAGAGAAAGGGGGTGGTTTCCTTTCTGGGTTATTCAAGGGAGCAAAACACGCAGCTGAAGAGGTTTCTGAAGAAGTTAAGGAATTCCTTGATGATACGAAGAAAGAAGCAGCTGAGGAAGAGGCCAAAGTACGTGACGTAGCTGCTGAGAAGCTAAAAGATGCTGAAGCTGCGAAGGCTAAAGCCTTGGCTGATGCAATAGAAGGGAAAGACGCTGTGGTTTTTGCATCAAAGGACGTCAAAGATAAAGTTAATGACAAGGTTCAAGACGGCGTCCAGAAAGCATCCGACGCGACTAAAGCTGCAAGTGAAAAGATCTCTGAAGGAGCTAAACAGGTTAAAGATAAGGCGAAATATGCAGTACACGATGCAGCAGAAGGTGCAAAATCTACAAAGGATAAAGTATCCAAAGAAGTTAAGAAGGATGTTGATCTGGCAAAGGATAAGGTTTCAGCTGGAGTAGATGCAGTTGCTGATACTGCAGAAGCAGCGAAGGATAAAGCAGCAAAAGAGGCCAAGAAAGCTAAGGAGAAAGGTGGTGGTTTCCTGTCTGGTTTGTTCAAGGGTGCGAAACATACAGCTGAAGAAGTGTCCGAAGACGTCAAAGAATTCTTAGATGAGACGAAGAAAGAAGCAGCTGAAGAAGAAGCCAAAATTCTAGACGCAGCAGCTGATAAATTAAAAGATGCAGAAGCTTCGAAGGAAAAAGCCTTAACTGATGCAAAGGAAAGAAAGGATACTGTTGCTCTTGGAGCAAAGGACGTCAAAGACAAAATCAGCGACAAGGTTCATGACGGTGTTCAAAAAATGTCTGATGCTGGCAAAGCTGCAGGTGACAAAAT